GAGGCACATTAAAGATGCTCAACACCATTAGCCACCAGGGAACTGCAAATCCAGACAACAGTAGGTACCACTTCACTCCCCCGCCTGCGTGTCTGTCATAAAAGGGACAGACATGACCAAGTGATGGTGAGGATGTGGATAAACTGGAACCCTCGCTTACCGCTGGCGGGAATAGGAAATGGTGAAGCTACTTTAGAAAAGAAAAGTAATTCCTTAAAATGTTAGCTATACATTTACCATACGACCTAGCAATTCCATTTCTAGTTTTCTACCCAGGAGAAATTCAAACACGGACTTGTAAGTGGATTTCATAGCAGCATTATTCACCACAGCCTAAGAGTGGAAGCACCCTGAATGTCCACCGATGGGCAAATGGATACACAAAATGTACTGTGTCCATAGAGTGGAATATTATTCTGCCATGAAAAGAACTGAGTAGTGATTCATCCTACAACATAGATGAACCTTGAAAACTTTCTGGTAAGTGATAGAATCAGGCACAGAAGGCCAGACACCGAGAGGTCAGAGGTGTTCGAGGGGATATCGTGTGTGTATTGAGATCGCCAAGATTGACAGAAGTTGTGCTGGGCAAGAGAGACATGAGGGAGCTGCTAAGTCTTCAAGGAATGAGGGGTCAGTAGGTGACTGCGCCAAGAAATGGCTGCAGATGGCACCACCTATGGCATGAGCTCAAAAACTAGAGGTTTTCTGGGAAGAAGGAGGGACAATGATCCAGAAGTAGCTGTGGGAAGCTAGGAGGACACCTGCCCTACTTCCTGGGATACAGGACACTGAATGCATGTGCTTCTGGTTTATAATTAATGATGGCAACAGCCTGGTGTGAGGTGGGCAGGGGGTACCAGTGGAAAACGCTCTGGACTTGGAGCCAGACACGGGTCCCTAGTTTGGGCTCCTCCAGGGGCTAACAATTGACCTCAGGCAACCACATGGCCCTCTGGGACCCTCAACTATAAAATGAGAATCATACCCGGAGTCCCCCTCTGTCTGATTGCTCATCACACTGACGTTGCTGCCTCTTTGTCTCCTTCGTTCATTAGACTGTGAGCCCCGAGCTTCAAGGAGCTCGGAACTAACAGGGGGGCAGGAGCCAAACACAAGTCGGAGGGGAGAAAGGCAGGGACACCCCGAGAGACTGGACACACCTCCCTTTTGATAAAGGGTCTTCTTTAAAACTCACTCGTGTGCTCATGTTGACCTCCACATCGGGGGTGGGGAGTGAGCGGACTTTCCTCCAGGGTGACAGCTGATGGCGCTGCCCTTATAATAGGTCACAGCAGGGGGCTGGGCCTGTGGCCTGCGGAGCCCTCTGCCTCCAGCAGGGCAGTGGCCACACGACTGACCCCAGATGGTGGCTGCATCCATGTGCAAAGGCCTTCTCCCTGGGTGGCCTGCTTTCACATCTCCTCAACCTTGCAACCATGGAGACAGTTTTCTTGGATAAACATCAGATGTTGGCATGGATTGAGGGATCCTGGGTCATTTTTTTTCGCTTTTGCTTATTTGAATTTTCTTATTTTTATTTAAGTAAAATAATGGTGAATCACTTTCAAAATCCAGAAAGTTAAGCCGGTCATTTTTATTTTTTATTTTATGTATTATTATTATTTTTAAATATGAATTTTCTTATTTTTATTTAAGTAAAATAATGGTGAATCACTTTCAAAATCCAGAAAGTTAAGCCGGTCATTTTTATTTTTTATTTTATGTATTATTATTATTTTTTAAATATATTTTTATTGATTTCAGAGAGGAAGGGAGAGAAAGAGAGAGAAACATCAATGATGAGAGAGAATCATCGATCGGCTGCCTCCTGCTTGCACCCTACTGGGGATCGAGCCCACAACCCTGGCATGTGCCCTGACTGGGAATCCAACCGTGACCTCCTGGTTCATAGGTTGATGCTCAACCACTGAACCACGCCGGCCGGGCAGGCTGGTCATTTTTAAAGTGAATCCTTTCTCATGCCACTGTGTCTGCTCACCCTCTCCTCTTTGACCTTCTCCATGACAACAAGGCGATGCTCCACTCCGCAGAGGATCACAAGACATGGACTTTTGAGGTTCAAAGGAGCTGAGTGATAGGCCCAATATCACAGAGCTCCACGTGGAAGGGCAGCCGAGTCAGACCTCTGTCTGTCTAACTTCAAAAGCCACGTGGTCTGTGTCCGCTCTGCCTCGTGTGCGGCAGCAGAGGAAGAATCTGTTCCGCTGGATGGACAGGCCTTGGCCAAGCCTCCGCCCCCCGGCTGGTCTCTTCCTTCTGCCGTCTCACCTGGAAGCCAAAAAATCCATATGATCCCAGAAACCAGGAAAACGGCTTCCACTACCACCAATGTCACCACCACCACCACCGCTGCTGCCAACAGCAGTAATATGGCAGCTTCCCCCAAGTAAGAGCCTACCCCGAGGCTAGCACTGTGCTGAGCTCTCAGTCGTTTGCTGCTCGGACCCATTTAATTCTCCTAAGGATGTGTGACTCAGGGGGCACTTTCATCCCATTTTATGGATGAGGAAGTTGAGGCTGAGAGACACAGCCCCAGGCCACTGTTGTGCTAGCGTTCAAAGGATGTGACCACCTGGGAAAAAATCAAGGAAGATGAGGAAGGTAGAAGGCTCTGGAAATGTGGTCCTAAATTTTTCCTTTTACAAAAAAAAAAAAAAAGGAGAAAAAGATGGAGCCGCTGGCACTGAGTTTCGGCTCTCTGCCCCCCAGCAGATCACTCACAGCCAGAACTACAAAGTGACTTTTTTTCATTGAAAATGAGTCTTTGTTTCCACCCACCCCACCCTGCGTTTCCTCTCCTTTGTTTTTATTTCTGTTATGGCCACAGAAGGATCCGAAGATTTTTGCAGGCAGTGGCCAGATTTGTTCATCCGCCTGCTAACCTGCCCGCACCCCCAAGGCACCGGCTGGCACTCTAGCAGGTGTAGCTTGCAGCTGGAGCCGATGTCACCCCGCATGGGGCAGATGGAGGGGGGACAGCCATCACAGCGGGCTAGAGTTTTAAAAAATACACGATCAGACCTTCATCAAGGCCTGGTAGGGATCTGTGGCCTGGATGCCAAGCGTGCCAAGTTGGCAGGTGTCTGCTCTGCTGTACTGTGTGAGCAATAGCGGGATTCCTTTTCGCGGGGGGTGGGGGGTGGTGAGGCGACTGGCATCCCCTGTCGCACAGGCGGACTATTCTGGATCTGAGTTGTTGGTGAAGTCACCACAATAGATTTTACTTGGGGAAGCGTTTCGGGCTGGGGTGAGGATGCAGGAAAGGGCACAGGAGCCTTAACGACAGGGGGATGTGCAAGTGACACATTCTCTCTGAGTCTGAGATGTGCCTTCTTCATTTTTAAAATGACACACCCGCTTCCCCGCCTTTCCCAGCCCCCGCATGCAGGTGAGTCAGGTGACTGAGCCTCACTCCTGGCGGTGAGAGAAGGGACAGTCACTCCCTGCCTGAGGCAGGTGAGCAGGCGGGCTTGGAGCCTGTGTATGGCCAACGGCATGGTTACAGGGTACAGGAGGGCTGCCTGCCCCACATCCGGCATTATTATCTGGTTTTGCCTGTAGGGGCTGCTAAAACAGGAAGTAATCATTGGCAGGGCTGTGGTGTGGATTATCGATAGGGCAGATGAAGCATCTGGCACATAGTAGGGGCTTCACCAAAATGGCAGCTCTACCCAGGAACTGGTTACCACTATAGAAGCCTCTGCCAGCAAAGGTCCTAAACTGGACCAGACAGTGCTTGGTATGTAGCCCTGTGA